ATGTACCCTGCAGCCTTCTGGAAGGTCCACCAGGTTGGGAGCCAGGACACCACATGCCTCATCTTCAATCTTCGACTGACCACTAGTTCCATGAAAATTCTGCCCCTTTTCAATCTGGGTTCAAGTGGCCGGTGACCCATGTAGGTAAAATTAATACGTGATCATGCAATTAAAGGCTGGTGTCGTAATGCATGTGCATGAGGGGGCAGAGTTAAGGTTTTTCAGGAAACTGTAACTGTGGCATTTCCTGGTGCTGGAGGGTTTGACTCTGAAGCCTTCTCGTTCAGCCTGCCAACCTGCCCATGTGTGACATGAGCCATGGCACCATGTGAGGAGCGGGCACGATGGGGGATGCCTGGGTTTGCTGCCTCTTGCGCCATAGCTGAGCGGTGATGACGGGTTTACACTGTAACGTCTGGTTCCAAGGGGCTTTTCTCAGCATGTGCATTAAATAAACCAGGTTCAAAAGAAAACTGGAGAAAGAGAAATTCCATCCCGGGCCCCCAGCAGGTCACCAGCCGGGAGAGACCCAGGAACCTTCTCATGCCCCCCCAGAGACCCTGTGCCCTGAGCTGAAGGAGACACTGTCCGTGGTTATGTGGCCAGGCCCCTAGAGAAGGACGTGACACAGGCTTTGTTTGTACAGCCATTGGCTAGAGGACAGCAGGAAGCTGGGGTCAGGGGTCTCTGTTCCTGGCTATGGGAGGGGAGTGGGGACTAGTGGCTAGACCCAGGGGCTGGGAGCAGGACCTGGCTGTGATGGTTGCGCCGTCAACCGTGAATTGCTCTGACCCAGCGCTGGGCACCGTGGCTCGGGGGCAACATTAGTAGATGGTTCAGGAGCCCAGCCAGATGGTCCCAATGGGGCTTCTTAAGTCCCCAACACCCCTGCTCACCAGCTGCCCCCCAACCACCCGGGAGCCTCCCCCCTCAGCTTCCCCCAGACCCACGGAGCAGGAGGGGGATGAGCAGCAGATTTGCCCACAACATCCCCCAAACCCACCTGCCCCCCCATCTCCCATCCTGCCCCCTTCAATTCTCCCCACCTGCCCCCCTCACACACCCGTCCCCTGCCCCATTTCCCCTCTAATGCCCATCGCCGCCTTCAGTTAATATGGCCACCATCTCCCAGAGCCCCTGGTGGGCTTGGTGCCAGGCTGCCCTCGGGGAAATGACACCTGCCTGGGCTGCAGGGGGGTGGGGGCTGTGGGGAGCAGGGGAATATGGGGGGGGTGTGTGAGAGAACATGGGGTGAACATTAGGGGGCTGGGGGGACAATGGTTCCCCCCTCATGATCGTTTCAGAGTGTATCTGCCCCATGGCCATGGGGGGCATGGCCTGCCCCTCACTCCCCCCCACCCGGCCAGAGGTGCCCCAGCTCAGCCAGAGTTTTGGCAGGAAAACGATCTCCCCCATCTGCCGACCCCGACTGTGTGAGAGGGGAGCCCTTCCCCCACCCTTCCCCCATCCCCATCAAACCTCTGCCCCCCACAACCCCATTCCATCTCCTTTCTGCCCTGTCCTGTCTCCCCTCAAACCTCTGTCCCCCCCACCCAGCACTGACCTCGGCCCATCTCCCCCTCCGCCCCGTCCCCACTCCAACCCCATCCCCATTTCCCCTCAACCCGTCCTGCCCCACTGCAACCGTCCAACCATAGTGTGTCTCCCCTCCAACGCCCGTCATGTCTCTCCTCCAACACTCACCCACCCGCCCCCTTTCTGTCTCCCCTCTAATCCTCCCCCCGGCCCTCGGCCTGTCCGCCAAACTCCCCCATCCCGGCTGCTCTTTGCAGAGGGTCTCCCAGGCACAGAGGGCTCGGAAACGCTCTCCCTCACCAGCGTTACTGTCATAACTATAAAGGGAAGGGTGGCAGCTCTCCTGTGTACAGTGCTAGGGAATCCCTCCTGGCCAGAGACTCCAAATCCTTTTACCTGTAAAGGGTTAAGAAGCTCGGGTAACCTGGCTGACACCTGACCCAAAGGACCAATAAGGGGACAAGATACTTTCAAATCTTGGAGGGGGGTGGGGGGAAAGGCTTTTGTGTGTGCTCTTTGTTTTAAGGGGTTGTTCGCTCTTGGGACTGAGAGGGACCAGACATCAATCCAGGTTCTCCCCATCTTTCTAAACAAGTCTCTCCTATTTCAAACTTGTAAGTAAAAAGCCAGGCAAGGCGTCTTAGATTTACTTTGTTTTCTCAACTTGTAAATGTACCTTTTACCAGAGTGTTTATCTTTGTTTGTTGTACTTTGAACCTAAGACAGAGGGGAGTCCTCTGAGCTCTTTAAGTTTGATTACCCTGTAAAGTTATTTTCCATACTGATTTTACAGAGATGATTTTTACCTTTTTCTTTAATTAAAAGCCTTCTTTTTAAGAACCTGATTGATTTCTCTTTGTTTTAAGATCCAAGGGGGTTTGGATCTGTATTCACCAGGAGTTGGTGAAAGGAAGGAGGGGGGAAGGGTCAATTTCTCCTTGTTTTAAGATCCAAGGAGTGTGGATCTGTATTCACCAGGGAATTGGTGAAGGTCTCTCAAGGCTACCCAGGGAAGGGAATTAGTTTTGGGATGGTGGCAGCGGACCAGAACAAAGCTGGTAGTTAAGCTTAGGAGTCCTCATGCAGGCCCCTACATTTGTACCCTAAAGTTCAAAGTGGGGATACAGCCTTGACAGTTACACAGGCCGTTTCAAACCGAGCCCCTGGTTCTACTCGGCTCCTGGGCAAACCCCCAGCAGCAGCCGTTCAAAGGCAAAGCTTTCAGGTTAAACCCACGGACAAGGAATCACACCCGGCCTGTCTATTGAAACGGGACCCGAGCGAGGCATTGTTTTAAAAGTCTTGATCTGTTAAACATGACTATCTTGTTGGATTGTATGTGCTATCCTGGTATGGGAAGTTACGAAGCATTGCTGGGTGTACTACTGAAATGTGTTGTGAGGTTGGGAGATGCCCACAGCCAACCTTTCAACTGTAGCAAAGGACCAGCCAGCCAGTGTCAATGGCTCATCCACACCCATCGAGGAAAGAATCCACTATCTCAGAGACTGTGTACAATGGAGATTGCTTGACCAATGGGCACTGCTGGATCCCCGGGTCCCAGAAAAGATCTTTCCAGCAAGCTGGCAGAAAATATAAAAGAGGGGAAGTGACATCATCCCTTGGCTTCTCTTTCCCCCACCTGGAGGAACATCTGGAGGACAAAGACTTGAAACTGGGGAAGGGTGGCCTCATGGTTGGTCCAGTCTGTGTATTGAGGATCTGTAACTGGCTTGTACCATCTGTCAGGGGGAGACGCTGCCTGATTTGAATCCTGTTTCATTTGTAGAACTCAGACTGCGAATATATTTTTATTTCTTAAGTGACCAACTCCGATCTCTGTGCCCACTAGTTATAATCCCTTCAAACCTCTCCTTCTGGAGTTAATAAATCTGTTTTATATTTGACCTCAAACAGTGTGTTTTGGTTGAAGTGCTTGGGAAATCTTAGCTCAGTACCTTTCTTTGGTACTGCGAGAGGGCCCAAAAACCCAGTAAGTGTTAGTGAGGGGCCAACACTCCCCTTACGTTAGCGAATGGAGAGATGGGAGGTGGGGGAGAGACAGGATGGAAACGGGGGTGAAATACTGCTTCTGGGGATGGTGTCAGGCACTGGACGCGGGTTAGTGACAAGCGGTTGCATTGGCAGCAAGGCAATCCCGACCCCAGCTGCTCGGACGGTGGATGGTGACAATCCGGGCAGGGCCGGCCCCACATTGGGTCTGTTCCCCTTAGGCAGGCCAGGTGGGATGGTGCCATACACCCAACTGCAGCATTCGATGGAAAGCCAGGAGCGTGAGCTAGGAGAGGAGGAAAGACACAGCAGGGAGGAAAACAGCACAACCAGGGAAGGGGAAAGGATCTCCAGGGCCTTCGGGCTGCCGCTAATCAGCTATCCGCGCAGGGGGGTCTGGGGTCTGCAGGGCACGGCAATGAGATGACTTCCAGCTCACAGAGGGGAAAACAAAGGTCCTTAAACAAGAGCCAGGCTGGCCGGCTCCAACTTCGCAGGGAGAAAGTCCTTTAGACGCGTCGAGACGGGCTGCAGTGCTGGGGGGTCCGGGGATGAGCTGGGGAAAGATGATGAGACAAGCTGAGCCAGGATGCAAGGTGGGACGGGGGAGGGGAGAGAGAGAGTTGGGCCCATGGTGGGGTTTTTACCAATGTCTCTTTTTAATGCACCCATCGAGGGGGAAAGTGGGTGGCCTAGTCCTGCCCCCTCATTATTTTGCCCCCCAGTTAGGCCCAAAGTCCCTCCCGCCAATGTGGGGCTATTGACTCCTGGTTCCAGCTTCTGCTTTCCCCAGCGAGATGTCGACAGAGACCAACCCAGCGTCTGTGGCTGGTTCTCTCACCCGGGTTACAACGTTCAGCGTCGTCTCCAATTTCCCCTGGTTCTCGGGCCTTGGCACAGCTGGGGAACTTGCCCATGGGTTTTACATGTGAGCTCCCAACCGGGCCGCTTCGCAGACTCAGCAGCCACAACAGTGCGAACGACTCCCAGGCGGCTCAGGCTGGGGGGTCGAGCCAACGTCCTCTCAGGCGTGGCTGTGTCGGAGCGTGTCCCAGAGGCCACGGGCACAGAGGGTGCTGCCCACAAGCCATGGCCCCTAGGGTGCCCCATGTCCCGATGGCTCCAGCCGCCTTGTAGGGCCCGGAGCTCTCCCCAAGGGCACCCTGTGGCACAGGCTCCCCATCCTGCTGCCATTAGCCATTTCCGCCACCCCCAGATGAAGGCCCTGGCACAGCTCCTCCCCCAGTCCCACGCCGAGCCGGGCCCATCCAGACCCCTGGGGGCCGCCCAGCAGGGCTGGCTCAGCACTGGTCCTTCTGGCTCTGTCCTGACAACATGGTGTCATGTCACTCGGGGTGACGGTGACCCCACTGCCCTTACCCCATGCTGGGGCAGCCAGGCTGGAGTGGGGGAATAGTGTGTGTGTGTGGGGGGGGGGGGGGCCACCTCACCTAGCATCTGCCCCTCCTCCATCCGTGGGTAGCCTCAGCCAGGATCAACGCCAGGGCCAGGAGGACCCCGGCGGCCAGGGCCAGCCGGACGATGTTGCCCTGGGTGTAATCTGGGGGTGACAAAGTGAGAAGGGTCATCAGCAGCTGCTCTAGGGGGTGGGGTCAGGGGTCACTATCCAGCCGAATGAACAGGGGCACCCACCCCCTTTCTGCTCCCCACAGCAGAAAACCACCACAGCCCCATAGGCCCATCCACTCCCTCTATCTAATCTATCCGCACCCACCCCGCTCTCTCCTGGGGCACTGGAACGGGGGGCCATGGTGCTCCCATGTTTTATCAACGGTAAGGGCGGGTGGGAGGGGGCAGAGAGGAGCGAGTGGGGGGTGGGGTCTTGGTGGGAGGAGGTGTCACAGAAAGGGGAAGAGGTGATGTGGGGGCAGGATCTTAGGGAAAGGGGCGGCATGAGGGCGGGGCCTCAGGAGCGGTGCAATGCTGGTTGGTGGGGCCACAGTTCTGGGACTTGTGCCCCCCCCCACACTTTTAGGTCGCTTCTGCTGCTCCTGCCTGTGTTTATCCATCTATCCCCCCCACCCCACACACAGACACCCCTCTATATCCACCTAGCCACAGCGACCGGCGACTGCTCTAGGTGGACACTGGCTCTGATCAAGGCTGACCAGTCCCAGGCTCCACCAGTGTCTGTCTATCTGTCTGTCTAAGGCATTTCTAGCCTTCCTCCCCCCATCCCCAGTACCATGGCACTAGCCAGGCCTGGCCATACCAGCTCTGGCCAATGGGCCCATCTAGCTCGGTATCCCGCCTCCCATGCTGGCTGCTTCGCAGGGAGCTCCAGGGCACCCCCTGTGACCACTGACGGCCTCAGCTGTCCCCAGATAGGGTCGCCAACTGTCTAATCACCAAAACGCAAACACCCTTGCGCTTTGAGATCGTTGGGAGAACCACGCCCCTCTAAAGCAATCAGCCGCGGTAGGCGTAATGGTGCTGTCATCACAACAGCCACTGTTAGGTTCCAGAGTCAACAATGTGTCACTCTGAATTGGTGGGTTCAGGTGTGAACTGAAACCCTGCTGCTGATCTATGTGGGGGCTGAGTGCTTTTCGTTCTGGGTTTGTACAGCGCCTAGCACGATGGGGCTTGGTCCAGGACTGGGGTCCTAGGCGCTGCCACGCTCTGCCCCTGCGAAGGGGGAGCCCTGCTTCCGAGCCGTCCCCCCAGCCTGTCTGCAGACACAGGCAGACAGACCGGATACACAGGACCATGATCCCCGGCTCTCGGTCTCTGTTCTCCCAGGGGATTACGCACCGAGCTGTGCCCCACATGGGTGGCTTTGTGGTGCTGGGGGACAGCACAGCATCACGGTCTGTGGGGCCCAAGGGGTGGGGTTGCACGGCCGCCCGGGGGGGGGCAAGTGGGGCAATTTGCCCCAGGCCCCGGGCCCCACAGGGGCCCCGCGAGCCCTGGCCCGGTGGCGGTCTGGGTCTGCGGCAGTATTTTGGTGGCGGGGGGGGGGCCTTCAGTCGCGCCATGTCTTCGGCAGCACTGAAGGACCCCCCGCCGCCGAAATGCCACCAAACACTCGGACCGCCACCGATTGAGTACAAGCACCGCAGCTCCCCAGCTTTGCCCCAGGCCCCCTGAATCCTCTGGGCGGCCCTGTGGGGCTGTGCATAGGGGAAAGCTCTCCTGGGCCCTGCTCCCACCCAGCCAATCTGGCATCTGTCCAGTGACCTCCCCCCAGCATATGAAATGAGTCCAGAGAGGTCTCAGCGCAGATGGGACATTTGCTATGGGGATCTGCCCCTGTTCCACCCAGCCAGCCCTTCGTGGCTTCCCATGTCAGCCGCTCCTTGGGCAGCTCAAACCTGTTTCTGGGGGCGTTGATGGCGATTTCCTGCCCCCAGTCCCAGTACCTGGCCCCGCGCTGCCTGGGTGGGTCGGAGCCGGCGCTGTTTCCAGCTGAGTCGGGTCAGTTCCCCCTGTGGGAATAGAACCAGCGTCTGTCAGGAGCAGAGGCAGGGGTGCTGAGAAAGCTGGAGCCGTGGTGTCTGGGGTTAGTTATGCGGGGGCCCCCCCCCCCCCCCGCAACCGGCAATGGGGGCTTTTCCCTGGGCTGAGGGAGAGGACGGGACCCAGGGATTCAGGCTGGCTCAGAGCCCCGGGGATCGCAGGAGGGGAGGATCAGCCCAGCGAGACCCTCAGCACAGATACAGCCCCTGCCTGGCTCCACAGAAACTGGAACTGCAATCATTAGTGACTAGTATTAATTACCAGGAGCCCCTGTCCTGGGCCCCGTGTGCTCGGAGCTGTACAGACACCGGACACAGAGACGGTCCCTGCCCCACTCAGGTGCCATTCACACCTGGAGTCACTGTGGAGCAGGTCCGGGTGCGGCTGTTCCTATTTCGGAGGAGGACGCCGCTGTGTCTATAGAGCTACAGGAGAGCTCGTCTGCCAAACGGGGCTGTATCAAACCAGGGGCCGCTAATTCCAACAGCCCAGACTCGCTCTGAGATCACCAGTGGGGGTTGGGAACTACATTGGATTTGTCATTTCGGGCCCAGTTTTCATGTAGACGAGGTCATAGTCCATCTTTCTATCCCTCATCAGACGCGCTCCCATCTGTCCGCCACCCTACATTCCCACAGACCCACATTCCCACGGACCGGTGGCCGTAGGTCCCCACGGATCTATCCATCATCCTCTATGTAGAAGAATTGACCCCATCAGTTCTGTCTGCAGGGACCGTCCCCCTCCAATCAGCCTGAATGGCCCCATGGGCATCTGAGCCGGGAGCCCTGTTCCCTGGGGGGTGAATTGTTCCATTTCTCCCGCTCACCTTCTCCCTCCGGCTCCGTCGTGGGGGGATCCGGCTGCTGGGGCCCAGCTGGGTCGGTTCCCTCTGTGGGATTAAAAGGAGCGTCGGCTGGAATGGGGGAGGGGACGGAACCAGCACCCAGGCCTGGGGCGGGAAGGGGCTGAAATGGTGACTCAGCGATTGGGCCGCTCGCCCCATGACCCGGCGTTTGTTACGGGTTTAATTGTCCGGGCAGGTGGGGGGTGAATTCAGTGCTGGGGCTGGTGCCGGCTGGACAGCCCCTGGGCCCCAGCTCCAAAGTGCATCCCCAGAGTGGGGGCAGCTGGGGGAGCATCCCCCTGAGAAAGGCCCCTGCTCTGTAGATCCCCCTGGGGGCAGGGATCCTCCCTTCCTTGGCCCTGAACGTCCAGCGGCTGCTGCTCCCCCCTGGCTGAGAACCCCCCAGTGACTGTCCCCGCTCCCCAGCTGGGTGTCCCCTCTGCTGGGCCCAGGGCTCAGGGCAGAGCCGGCTCTGAGCATCCCATTAGGGCAGACACCCCATGAGGCTCTGGCTGGGTGTGGGCTGTGATTGAGGACCCACACTGAAGGGAACCCACTCTCCCAAGGACCATTGCAGAGAGAGCATCTAGGCCAGGCATCGGCAACCTTTCAGAAGTGGTGTGCCGAGTCTTCATTTATTCCCTCTAATTTAAGCTTTCGAGTGCCAGTAATACATTTTAACGTTTTTAGACGGTCTCTTTCTATAAGTCTATAATATATAACTAAACTATTGTTGTATGTAAAGTAAATAAGGTTTTTAAAATGTTTAAGAAGCTTCATTTAAAATTAAATTAAAATGCAGAGCCTCCTGGACCGGTGGCCAGGACCCGGGCAGTGTGAGTGCCACTGAAAATCAGCTCGAATGCCGCCTTCGGCGCACATGCCATAGGTTGCCTACCGCTGATCTAGACAATGGAGACTGCTCGACCTACTGCTAGCAAAAGATCTTTCCAGTAAGTTGGAAGAAGCTATAAAAAGGGGAAGTGACAAAATCCCTTGGCCTAACTCTCCCCACAACTCAACACCTGGAAACACGTCTGGAGGACAAAGACTTTGAACGGGGGAGGGTGGTCCTGGCCGGAAGGCAGTTCCAGTCTGTGTACTGAAGATCTGTGATCTGTGTGTACCAGCTACCAGGGGGAGACGCTGCTTGATTAAAATCCTGGTTAGTTTGTAGAACTCAGACTGTCCATTTATTTTTGTTTCTTAAGTAACTGACTGCGATCTCTACACTTGCTAGTTATAATCACTTCAACGCCATCTCTCTGGAGTTAATAAATCTGTTTTCTATTTGACCTCAAACAGTGTGTTTTGGCTGAAGTACTTGGGAAATCTCAGCTCAGGTTGCAAAGGCTGCTGTGTGTCCTCTCCCCATCAAGGGAGGGCCGGACTGGGTAATGAACTGACACTGGCTAGGCTTCTGACCAGTGCAGGATGGTACCAGGCTGGGGATCTGGGAGGGACTTGGCTGG